GAGGTCGCTATTCTGTCGAGACACCTGCAACATTCTTACTCAGGCGCTAACAGTATGACTTAGAGGTTGGCATTCAATAATAAAGAAAAAAAAACAGTTAGACAGTGCGAGATTTTATTCATCAAAATTTTCTGTTTACAAATTCTACTCTTTCGATTTCGACGTACATAAATCCAGCTTCTTACTTCGACTTCTCTTCTATCCACCTGACACTGCACAACTCTCCCTTCTTTTTGCTGTACTCCTTTATCTGTGTGTTATATTCTTATATTCCCATAATTTAATTTAATTTAAGTGGTCAGTATGAATTTTATCTTGACTTACTACTGTATTGACTACTTTAACATGACAGGTTAAGTAATGCTTTGGTTAAATATATACACTTGCCACACTGCTGCCTTTTCCTCTCTCTCTCTCTTCTCCTTTTCAGAACCCCATTCACGGTGGGAAATCCTTGGCGACTCTAGGGAACATGTACCCTAGGTACATGACTGTCTGGATCACAGCTCGTATCAAGCGCGTTCCATATGACTTTTCCCAACAAATTCACTATTGATCTCGGCAAATCGCCAAAAGAACCTATTGTGCACCTTAATTATTTGCACTCTACTATTGAAAATGTGGCTGTATAATACTGTTTCTGTCAGTGACATGGTGTAAATATACAATCAGAAACTGACTCTCATACTTAATTTAACTGCTATAACTTTACAGTAATTGTGAAAGCATTTGTGACAATTTGATCTAGCCTGTAAACTGGCGTGACTCTTGTAACGTAGTTATTTGAGAATAAATTATTATTATTATTATATCCTTGTTTTTCCCTCGTGTGCATGCTGAGGTTGCCACTACCTGGTCTTCGTCTCTTGCATTTGTTGTTGCGTGTTCGACGGACTAGTCAGATCATCTGCGAAGTCCAGATAGTTCAGCTGTTGCCTAGCTAATAATATATATTTTCTCATATAACTACGTTACGTTAATACAAATATCATGCCAGTTCTTCTGTATGGAGCGAAAACTTTGAGAACTACGAAATCCATGCTCCATAAGATACAAGTATTTATTAACAGTTGTCTACGCAAAATACTTCGGATCCGTTAATCAGATGTCATCAACAACAACCTACTTTGGGAGGGCAAACAAGATTCCGGTGAAAGAGAAAATCAGGAACATGCTTTTGAGTTGGATAGAACACTGAGGAAATCAGCTAACTGCATGACAAGACAAGACCTCACCTGGAATCCTCATGACCAGCGGTATAAGCTGAAGATGAAAACTAATAAATATTGATTTTCCGATATTTCTGTCTCAATTCATTGTTTCAGTTGCTTGAAAATAGATCAGTACGTCTTCAGTAGTTGATGGCGGATACTGGAACAGAAGACTAGTGTTGTTTTCCGAAATTGGGTTTTGTCATTCACTGCCCCCTCTCAGGTTTTTATCGAAATTTTCAACATTCATAGTCTATTCCTGAATTGCGTTGATTTAATGCATCAAAATAGTGCAAACGCTGTCTAATTTTTATGATCTTCGCCACTGACAAACTAAGGCATCAGATTTCTGGAGCTGATGGACTAATATTAATATCACTTTCAGCATAACAAGTAAATGCCTATTGGCTAAGTAGATCAAGAGTTCTCCTCCGAAAGTAAAGTACCTCGTATCTTCGGTATTTATTGAGTGAAATTTTATTAGCTTTCTCATACTTGTTACTCTTCAGACTCGTATTTCCATTTTTGTGCCAGGCTCGCAATTCCACCGAAACTAACGACAACATGCACACTCATACTCTGGCGAGGTGGTCTAGAGATTAGTATTTAGAGAGAAAGAAAGTCAGGGCAATGGTAGGTAGTAAATGATACTTAATTAAATGCGTTCACAAACTCCTCTCTGCTTGTTTTTCTTTCGTCTCTAAAGAACAGCTTCCAAGCTTCTTTCCTTAACTTCTCTTCCGTTATTCGGTATTGTTGCATTATCTAACTACGGTTCATTGTAATTTTAGCAGCCAGTATGAGCTTAACTTACTGAATGACCATTACTTTACCTTCTCCGCATTTTCGCGATTGTTTATCCTCTTTCCTTGCTGCTTTGCTCCTTTCTTGCAACTAATCATCAGTAGACAATCATAGAGCTTCTTTTAAGGCCAACTACGCATGCCTTAAGAAAGTGTTCGTTTTGGTCAAAGCTTATACCGAGTGCTTTGCAATTAACATAACAAATATGACATTGCTAAACTGTTCCACTACACGAACACTATGCGGGTGAACATTTCTGTGAACCACTATAGATTACCTACCTACCTACAAACCAACTCTGCTGGGTACCTATCCCATTTATTAACCCCTGTTAGAAATTTCATAGTATCCCATTGATCATGCCAGTAAAATGGCGTGTACTTTCTAGTCCTACAGTACATTACTATTACTTCTAATATTTGAATTGCTGGAGAGGCACGGGAGTACACACCTAGGTAGCTTAGCACTCACACGGTTTTGAGTGGCCCTCTTGCAACACTTTATCAAGGACTCTTGTTTCGTTTACTGGCTTCTCACAACCACATTGTCTCTGATTCCCATGACGAAGATAGATACCAGAAGTCAGGTGCAATAATCTGTGGTAAGAAATTAAATATTACCGATATAAGAAATTACACGGCTGCTTAATACTAGTTCTGAATATCAGCCCGACAGTGTCCCATCATCAATAAATGTACTACGGTCAAAGAATGAAGAAGTTACAGAGATTGTCGGTTGTACTGAACCATTTGAAGAAGATCTGAACCCGTATGTTTTTATTTTGTGGACTGATGAAGCCGACATTATGATGAAAGTTAATTTCGGGAGGAGATCTACGTCACAGCTAAGGTTGGGTGGTCGAGAGTTAAAATATTACTGATCAAACATTTATTCACTTCATCATCTGGAGAAGACACTGTTTGTTTTCTCTTACGACCTAGTATCTCAACCTACTACAACCGTTTTAGGATACTTGACGATTACAAAACGAGGGATTATTTCGATGATGCTTCTGATGCATAACAGCTGTTCTTATACATGACCATGCTTGTAAAGACCAAATTACCAACATCTGATCAACACGTGGAACTACCGAAACAAGATTTATTCTGTTAGGCCAAATTGTGTCCTTCTCTATGGCGAACGAAGCGATTTTGGGTGACTCAAATCAGAACTCGTCAAAATACAGACTTTTTGGTGGATTTACAAAATTTTAATCTGAGAAGAAAAATTATGTTGCAAATATGGAATACTCTGGATGGTACAGCCTGTGACATACAGTCATAGGTTTCCATTGAACGAGATATTTTTCTAAACAACAAAAAGAATGATTAATAAATGAATATTCGGCAACGGAGAATCAACAAGAGTTCTTCCATCAAGTTAGGTTTGAATACCTGCCTTAAAGCTCCCGTTTTCAGAAGTTGATGATCAGTCAACAGTCGTACGAAGAACTCTGCCGTAACGTTGGGTTTGATAGAACATCACACGACTGTTAATGACTTTGCAAAAATCAATGCTGAAATCAAAATAGAACTGCAAAAATTACTAAAGTTGAAAACTAATGTCTCAGAAGCATATAACACGGTTATAGAAGTCCTGAGTTAAAATTAAACACAGAACATGGTCAAAGAGCCATGAAATAACGATACTGTCCAATGAGAAGCTGTAGAGGGAATTTGATGGTATTCCTTCATTTAAAATGCTCATAATTTCACAAATTTTGGGCACAACTGAGAGTACATATTTGAATGTGAATGCGTTTGAAGGAGACATTTTTAGTGTTTCGATTAACCAGTTATTTATATTTGTACTTACATGTCGGTAGTGGGTACATTCGTCTGTATGTACCTAGTTTTACATATGGTGTAACTGGAATTTGTTGAAATTGAGTGATTGAAAGTTGTCGAAACCAATCAAGCTAATGTATCTGAAATTTATATGGCACGATATCTTGATGATTTCAGCTGAACGCATGTTTACAGGCTGACAAATGTCTACAATATTTAACTCATGAGCCGTTTTTAGTTTTGGGAAAAATTAGACAATAATGCTTTAGATAAGAAGGGAGATTGCATGGCTGTTCGCAATTATGAATTTCATTACTGATTGTCACTGGAGTTCGAAATAGTCTAACAAGATTATAGGCTGTTTACCAAGTAGGATACCGCAAATGGGTAAAAATAACATGTTAAATCACGAAGTATCGATAAAGAATTTTGTTCAGTGACAGTTACCGGTAGATCTATTGATGGAGTGTTTTTTGTTTATTACGCGCGTCTGGAATTAATGTCATGAATGTTTACTGGTATTGTTGCTTTTTGACTATGTCGAAAACCGCTGCAAATAACTACCCAAACTTTTGAATGAGTATTCACTAGTAGGAAATAAATAGTTTGTTTTGGACCCCCAATATCTTTTTCGACTCAAAATATCTCTCCTTTTAATAGTTTGTAAGGGTGAGAAGTCTTAAATGGTTTGAACAACATTAACGCAACCAAAAATGGAAAAGCATAGAAACTAAACCAACTCCCCTCATCATATTCAAGGACCATTGGTGATTTCTCCACAATATTTAAGTTACTTCAAGACGAATCAAATTGCATGTCTTTATCTTTTTGGTCTTCTAAAACAGAGAGTTTATGAAGACATTGAAAAATTTAACAAATCTAGAATACTTTACTTGCCAAATGATTGTCGACTTTCTCATTGAATCATCGAACGGTGGAACTCTTGACCCTAACACGTGACTGAATCCCTAGGAATAAACGTGTTCGAAGAAAAGTTAGATCAATCGGAAGAACCTCATGTTCCCCTTATACTTGTCAATATGAAATTGAAACAGGTTATTATTGTAATTCAGCCGTTTTCAAACATTTTACGCTTTCCTGATGCTCTGGAATAAAACTGAAGTAAAATGTGAGGGATAGTAGTATCGGTTCATATCATATTATAGAGTTGCTTTCTAATTTTTCAAGCATATCCATTGTCATGGTGTACGAGTCGGTTTATAACCGGCCTGTTTGTTCGTCAAGGTCATGTTCGACGTAGGGTCTGCACCTCCTAAACATGACCCACCAGCCGGGATGGAGCCGTATGATCTTCCTAGGGAAAGAGATCTGGGGGCTCTTAGTAATGCCCAACAAGCTGCAACAAATAAGTTAAAGGTTAGACGCTATTAATTCTATATAACTTAACAGACTGAAACTCGGTTGAACAATGAACTCTATTTGCGGAAACATCCAGAAATAAAGTATATGATTACTGCATTTCTGAGGTAAAATTGGCTTTTTACCAGTTGATGTCTTTTAGAGATATTTTGACGAAACAGCCTGAAGATGCTAGAGAACATTTTGTAGGTAAGGTTCATGTTAAGCTATCTCTTTAGACTTTTTTACGAGTCCGAATCTTATTTCAAATGTAGAAACCATTAAGGAAGAATATATGAAGCAGTATCATGATGATGAAGTCATTCGCTCTTTGGCCCAATGACAATCGCAAACACGAATTTTGTTAATGTTTCTTTTGGGTTTAGTTGGGAAAATAATTAAGTGCATGTAGTTTTTAAATTTCTAAGCACACACATCAAAAAGCTTTTTTTCAACTGCTTTCTTTTGTGTATGTCAAAATCTTTAAACGTAAATGGTCCCTGAGTTTCTTTCAACAATCCAGTTCACGGTATAGATAAATGTTCACTATCCCGCACATTTAATTAGATCGAACGCGTATTGCAACTTTTGTCGAAATATCGTTGTTTTTTGTGCTTAGTTCAATATTGTGAAGAAGTAAACAACAGTGACATAATTAAAGCTTGTTTTGGAAACACTATTGTACTTTATTCGAAGTCTGCTAAATGCTAATATTTAATTTTGGTCCTATTTTATTTTGTAAGTCCTAGTCTTTTGGTTGGCGTGTGATTTACTGTCATACTCTGTCTAATTCAAAACTTACTCTAACTTAGACATAACGCCCAATATCTATTTTCTACTCAAACGGGTATTTGCGCGTAATTGTGTTTTTATAAATCTTTGTACTTTGTGGTCTTACAAATCATGTATTTGTGTATGTTCCCTTTTTTTTATAATTCGAATCAGGAATAAATCGATCATTGTTCCATTCGATTGGTCTTCTTTCTCTTTAACTTGCTAGCCTATCTGACATGGAATAGTTTTCTTTCCTCTGCCAAGGCCGTTTAGGTATACCCGAACTCACGTTCTACAAATACCAAAGTTAATTAGATGCCCTATTGCGTCAAGACCTTTGGATTAGATTGAAACAAAACTTTGTCTCCTGTGTATGACCGGCAGATGGCTCATGGATGTACCAGTCAATTTTGGCATGAATAACCTTTCTAATTGTTTGGACCGCCCGCCCCTTCAAAACTAATCTTGTGTGTGTTTATTAATATCATGAATTTACGGTTTGGTAATGCTACAGAAGTCTACAAGCTATTAAAAGGAACTGAATAAATTGAATATAACTGTGCTTCCATATTTCCAAACAGAAGGCGCATTTAGAGGATGCCATACTGTGTAGTATATGTAAAGTAAACCCCGACCGTAGCTGCTACCTTGACGTGGTGGTCGGGCTTGCCTATCGTGACGACCCAACCGAGCTCTACTGGCTGGAACATATGTTCCTGAAGGTACTACCACGTTCTAATGGGGTATGGGAACATGAACTGACGTACGTACGTACGAAGTTCTACTTTACTATTGATTGGTTGATTGATTGTAAAGTAAACTGTGTAGAACTCTAGTAAATGTCAGATCAGAAAGAAGTCATTTTGTTTCTATCGGTTCGATAAATAGCATTTAAATGTGGGGGTGATGGTTAACACTAAGAATTAATGCAAACTATATAACCGTCGGAAACTAAGGACCTCAGTACTGTTGTTTCGTTCTACTATGAGACCGTTTATCAATCTATACTCTCAACCCCATTTGCCACGTAGCCTTCCTTGTAGAAAGTAATTTGATTTCCCAAGTCACTTAATTAACATCTAGTTATGTACTCGCCGTTAGTCATTTGTTCAATATCTGCATACCAAAGTGATTTAATTTATGGCACTATAATTGTAAATTGCTTTTTCAAATTGATGATGATAGTTGAAAGCTGTGTTATGCAACAAAACATTTACTTGTATGAAAATTATGAGTATTTTTTAAGTACCATAATTATTCAATGTTAGTTGGTGAGTGCTACTTATAACTCAAGATATTAGTTTTTAGCTAAGTTACTAAAACAATCCTACGTAAAGAGTATATAGGCCACTATTAATTTACTTTTGGTAACGAGAAATGTTCATGTGTTTGGTTAAGTCAGTATCAGCACAGGCTATTCAAAACCTTATTTGATAGTTTTTCAAAAAACTCAGAAAATTCCATTAGTCAGTAACAACGTAGAACTTCGTATATCGTTTCAAGTTGCCATACCATGTTAGCACAGAGAAGCAAGTGTCAATTCAAATCACATAGTGGCAGAGGTAGTAGAAGTATGAGCAGTAATCGGAGATTAGGGTTTGAAGATGTTTTTCGATAAGTATAACCCATTGAAATTAATCTGAGTAGATGAGAGCAAACTAGACACAATCAAATCCTTCCTAAACCTCTTAATAACCCTTTTACCCTCTTGACCAAACATCATCATGTTACTACTGATAAGTTAATAGACACCTCTTTCTGGACATATAATTCAGGTAGAAACTCATCGATTGCAACTGTTTCGGCGAACTGAAGAGACCCCAAGTTTCTTTTATTTCATTTAATAATTTTAAGAGGTTGGCGAGTATGTCATTGATGTGCCTGATATCAATTGAATGCTGAGCTATTGCGCTATTTAAAGTCGCTTCCCGTTTGTTCCATTTCAAATTATTAGGACCACGTATTTTTGTGCTTTTCGACACTTTCTACTTAGATACAGTGGTTTAACCTATTTTTTGTGACTGGCGCTTTTTCAGCGAGTTAGTTTTATACGGGATGAGGTCGCTAACCCCATGTTCAGCCCTCATCTTTTATCTGGGCTTGGAACCGGCAGTAGCCCTATAGGGGCTCCAAGTGGGGTGTAAGCACTTGAGGGCTACGATATACTAGATGTAGTAGTAAAGTATAGTATATATCACCATCAGAACATATGATCATCAGTTACTACTTGTATTATTAACGAAACCAAACTAAACAAAAGTAAAACAGGATTGTTTGATATCAAGTGAAGGTTTATGAAAGGTCTAAAACCTATTCACTGTAATTACTGATTGTTTCAACTTGTCCACTACATTCAGAAAAATAGTTTGCGATATTCTAGACAGTTTTTTGCTAAAGATCAGTTCACGCGATTAGTACTTGAATAAACAAAGCCTAAACCGTCTTACTAGGTTTCGGCAAAGCATTTAAGACAGCATAAATTTACACCTAGTTGGCCACTAGTACGTTTTAAATATTGTTGAAGTGTAATTAAACGAACAGATTAAAAACGTTAAAGTTTTACATGATTTTCAAGTTAAATAAAGTAAATTCATACACTTGTGTTAATATACTGTCTTCAAGATTGTGCTCGCGAGACTGAAGGTCCTGGGTTCGAATCCTGCATGTAGCAGGAGTTGTGGATGCTCACTGCTAATGAGTTCCGTGCCGGGACGAAACGGCCGTCTTTCAGTATTTCGAGGTTGCTAATAGTGGTCTAACAATGATTCATGCATGATTTCAAGGTAAAGTTGCTAACCAGTCTGATATTTGTTTTCATATACTATTGTTCTAGAAATGAAAGTAACCTTTTTATAAAATCTAGTTATTCGATTGTACATTGAATATAATACATTGAAAATACCAATTAAAAACTTACTTTCCTGTAAATTTTCAAAATTCAATCATTAGGTTGCATACTAGTGATTATTTAATTCACTAAAGATGAATAATTATCTCGCTCCTGATTCCCTGTATTTAATTTTATAGATAATAATAATTTCACAACTAAAGGTTAGACAGATTAGATGTCTTAGTTATAAAATGCCTGGCCAGACCGAAACATGGCAGAAACCTATGAAGTCACTGACAAGTGGACTGAGTCACGTTGGTAGATGTAGACTATCTGGTTGGGGTCCGCGAGACGAAAGTCACCAATAGTTAGAGACCTTGAACGACATGGCTCAAAATCGTTTGCAATGGCGCAGGTGCATCCACTCTTTGTGTTCTCTCTAATTCTAACCTTCTGAATTTCTCATCAACTCTCTCTTTCTGCTCCTAAATTTATCTCACTGAATTATACTTTTTGAATCATATCTTCGCTCCCTAATCTTCTCCATAGCTGCTAATACTTCTACTATCACTATCACTCTTGGATTTGAACTCACAGTTGCGTCTCTGTGCTGACGTGTTATAGCAACCTGAACTGATGTACTTATGTACGAAGTTCTGCGTTGTATCTGTCTGTCTGTCTTATTTATAAAATGGTCGGTCGAAAAATGTTGGATACAGAGATCTTTAAAATTTCACAATGAAAAGTTGAATTAAAATGTTTTACATGACAAATACACATTTTATATAAGTAAATTCTCAATAGTATTTTCTGGTTATTTAAAGTTTGACAAATAAAATCATATTCTATTTCTACCAAGTTCAAATAGGACATACATCGACGGGAGAGCACTCAACTGCATCACAAGACAAGTCCTCACTTGGAACCCTTAAGGACAAAGGAAAATGAGTAAGACCAAAGAACAGATTACGCTGAGAAATGGAGACATGTATGCAAAGAATTAATAGTTGTTGGATAGGACTAGAAAGAGTGACCCCGGACAGGGTAGGTTAGAGAATACTGGTAGGCGTCTTAATTTCAACGATGAGTAACCCATGTTAGTTAAGAGTTCGTCGTAAAATCTGTTATGGTTAAAAACCGATGAACTATTTGTTTGTCACCTACCTAGTTAGTAGATGAAATGTATATTTCAGCTGATTTCAATTATTCAATAAAATAATATTGACTTTCCTCTGATCATCCTACAAATCATTTCAATGAACGACACAATTTATTTACCCAAGGAATGATTCATTTATTTATTCTTGTATATAATATTTTAATAATGTTAGCTGGTTGTACCTACACTAATCAGTACGGAGATGACCTTCGAGTAACTAGTATGCAACAACAACGCAAGATTTGCTACACTCCGTCTTCAAGTTTGGCTCAATAATAACTTTTTCCAACCGAAGAGGAAGAACACAAGACCAATGACTATCAGTCACAGATTCTGTTACTATAGTTCAGATATGAGTTAATCAAGAGCTCAGAATATGGGGAGAATATAGATATCAATCAGTAATAGTCTAACTGTTTAGTAATTAGGAGAAGTTGGAGAAAATTTGTAGCTCAGGTTGATGATTTTGATGGAGTTTCATTTTGTGAGCTGGATGTTTTGATTGTAGAGATTTTGATTGTTCTTCTTCTGAACAACAATATCATCAGCACAAACTTTAGTGAAGTATTCGAATTTCACCACGTTTGATCCGTTTGGTTAACCTTGATCTTGGTTGGTTCTGATTGACCTGAAACCTGTCGTTGTTTGCACCTTTATTTTGATTGTATCCCCCATTGATCTGTTACTTCATCCTATGTTTGTCTAATTTCTGATTGATCGATAAATTAGGTCAATGTCGATATGTTTTAGTTGATAGGTGATTGACTTCTCTAGTAATTCTAGTAATTCTCTAGTGTTCTTTGAACACTCTCTATCCAGTATTTCAACATTGTTGCATGTATTGATATAAGGGAAGAAATGTGATGGCGTTTGGCTGCTAATTGGCGCTGTTCACGTAGATGAAGCTAACGAGGATGTCTACTTTGTCTTACAATTAGACTATATACATGTCACGTACTTCAGTGTTGTTTCCCATCGATCGTGCTGACTATCAATGTCACAGACTTCAATGTTGTTCGCATTCGACTTAAATATCTAAATACGCATTATCCGTAACGTTTTATGACCGGGATCCCTAGTCCAGGATTCTGATTCTCTTATGGACTCGAGCCTCTTACTTTCTGGATGCTTATAGAATACATGTTCTACTTCATATAAACTCTTCTTATTTTTACTCGATATGGAACACTCGCATTAGAGTAGC